ATAACTCACTCCCAACCACATTATGGTATATTTTGTTTTAGTCTCTCTTGTTCTTTTTTTTAATTTTATAACAGTTTATTTTTACATCATTTTGTATATATTTTTTTCCATCTCAATTGTAATCCCCACGGGTTTCCCATCACCATGTCACCCGTGTGCCATCACCATAACCCTTTTTTTTTTTAAATGGAAGTTGTATTTGTTTCTTACCTAGTTTGTAATAACACTGCAATTGCACTGCTGTAGTCTGTTTTTCACTTTATATTATACATGTTTGCACATAATTCAGACCTTTGTACATGCAATTTCTAGTGGCCAGAGAGGAGCTATCTCAGTTTACTGTATGTCGGAGACTTTGTCCCCGATCACAGATTATTGGGGGGCAGAACAGGCAGGGTCTCAAGGTGGGAGTGGCGTCAGCGAGCAGAGATTCCTAGCAAAAGGGGAAAAAGGGACAAAAGGGGAGCAGGCGCAAGGAAGACACGGGAATGGGAGATGGGTGCAAATCTTCCTGCTCTGCCTTTAGCAGAGGTTTATTTTATACACTTCAGGCAGGCAGAGGGATGACATTAGCATAGGAAATGGACTGAGATCACAATCACTTTTTTGCTAAGAATAGTCTGGGTTCATTTTGACCTTTAGTTGAGATTATAACATTTTTAAAAATCAATCCATCAAGGTTAAAACAAGTACATAGATTCACAAAGTTTAAGACTAATATTACTATATTTGCCATAGTGAAGATTAACCAAAATCTATTACTTAAAGGCTTTCATTCTCATAGAGACATACTAGGGGGTAAAGTAAAGTGAGGGCAGGAAGAGGAAATTTTTTATAAATCAAATTAAGGTAAGATTCTTTGAAAAACTTGTTAGAAAGTTTAAGTGAGTTTTCTTGAAATCTAGATGGTAGAAAACCTGATTAGCTCATAATAGGCAACTTGGGTGAATTTCCTTATCCAAAGACTAGATAGTAGTAAGTTTGAGTAGTTATTTAGAAACTGAATAGAAGGCTGTGTGAGATAGAGTGATAAGATTTGGGTTTTCCTCCGTCTGGCAGTGAGAGACTTTGTAGGAACAGCCATTTGTTTTTATTAATCAGCCAGTTGTTTAATGACTTTTGACTTCAAGAGGAAATTTCTCACTCTGGTGCAGTACTTGCTTGTCAGGGCCTAGTACCGCCTTCTGAGGCTGAGGCAATCCAATTGTAAGCTGAAGGTTGCTCAGAATATTTTGATATTATGATTACACAAAAAAGGGAGGTCATAACATAAGTTAGCAGTGGAAAGTCTGATTTTTCAGAGCTTTTCCGATCTACCTGGAATCTGTCGGACGATAGACGTTGCATAGCTTATGTCAGCTGTAACCATTCTAAACAGGAGGTTAGTCTCTTCTTCCCCTTTTTGTGTTAGTAAAAATACTATTATGTACATTTTAGGGCAGATAGAGTCCCCTGAAGTAGAATCACTGAGTCAAAAGATATATATTTCTTCAAAGTTTTTTATTTTTTTATTTTTTATTTTTGCATTTGTCTTTATTTTCTGCACTGGAGAGGTAGTACTTCTGAAATCAGAACAACCATAAACTGTTTTTTTTTTTTTTCTTTTTGAGTATTGCTCCTTTTTTTTAAAGATTTATTTATTTGTGCACACAGAACTGGGTACAGGCCAGAGGAGCAGGGGCAGTGAGAGGATTCACCAGCGACAGAGTGGGGAGCAGAACAGGCAGATCAATAAAGTACACTGCTGAGGGGAGGATTGGGCTGGTCAGGAGAGGTCTGCTGGGCCATGTGGGTCACCACTGGGGCCAGGGATCAAACTTGAACTCGCACTGAAGGGGCTGCGGCTGCTTCTGGTTAGCTTGCAGTGCTGCGTCCTAACCTGTTGAGCCACCAAGGAGGGTGCTTTCAACGTTTTTTTAAACCAGAATTTTTTTGAGGGATAATCTACATCAAGCAAAATTCACCCCTTTTAAGTGTAAAGTATTATATTCAATCCCTTCAATAGATAATATCACCCCAGAGACTTTCCTAGAGCCCCTCATTGTCAGTACCCCCCCCCCCCATTTACCCTCAGCCTTGATGACAATGGACCTGTTCTCTGCCCCTATATTTTCTCTGTTTTCTGAATATCATGACTATCTGGAATGAGACTGTCAAGCTGTGACTCAGGCTTTTATACTTAACTTCTTGGAGATTGGTCCGACTTGCGTGAGTCAGCTGTGTGGTCTCTAGCACCCACTATTCCAGGGTACAGCGGCTGCAGAGTCTCCCTGCACTTGATGTACATGTGGTTTGTTTACTAGCCTGTAGAGATGATGAAAAAAGCTGTTCCAAGGGTATACTTTATATGTGAACATGTTTTGTTTTTCACCCAGGAAGCAATGGCTTTATTTCTTCATGGCTATATCATTGCTATCTGATTGCTTTGTTTGTTTTACTGAGATAACTAACATTGATTTACAACCACTATATGTGATTTAGAGTGAGCATACATTTTCATTTTTCTGGGGTAAATACCAAAGTGAAATTGCTGGGTTGATGGTAAATGTATATTTAACTTCCAAGAATGCCAGGCTTTCCCAAAGTTGCTGAAACGCTTTATATCCTCCCTGAGATCTAGGAGAGTGCCAGTTGTTCCCTGTCCTTCCTGGTATTTGGTATTGTCAGGGTGGGTTTGTTGGCCATTGGCATAGCTGTCTGCCAGCCTCACTGTGGAGTCTCACTGTGTGTATTTCCTGGGTACCCAGTGATGCCTGGCTTCTTTCATGTGCTTATTTCTAGCCATTTCTCTTCTTTGGTGAAATATCCATTTAAATGTCTTTTTTTATTTCAACTTCAGTTGCTTTTTTCTTATTACTGACCTATGAGAATTCTTGAAAGATTTTTTGACACAAGTGCTTTTTTTTTTTAAATGAGCTGGGGTACAGGCCAAAGATGTTGGGGGTGAGAGGACTCACCAGAGACAGTGGGGAACAGAACAAGAGGATCTACGGAAATACACTGCTGAGGGGAGCAGCAGGCAAGACAGGAGTGGTGTGCTGCACTATGTGGGTCACCTCCTTGGTGGGGATCAGACTTCTGCTGCAGTGGCTCACAGTGCTGTGCTTTAACCCCTTGTGCCACCAGGGAGGGCCCATTTTGTGTCAAGTACTTTATTAGATTTTTTGGCAAATATTTTCTCACTTCATTATCTTAATAAAATGAGATGTTTTTAATTTTGAAAGGTCTGCTTCATCAAGTTTTAACTCTATAAGTCATCTAAAAAATCTTTGACTATACCAAGCTCATGAAGATTTTTTCTGAAGTTATAGCTCTTTGATCCTTTTGAGTTAATTTTTACATGTAGTGAGAAGTATGTGCTGAGCTTCATTCTTTTGCATCCCAGAAGCTTTTTGTAATTCTTCCTATTATAACTCTTGCCATCAAGGGGAACCACTATCTTTACTCCTAACACTTCACCATGACTTAAAATTTCATTGTAGTCATGGAACCTATACGTTTCTTATTCTGGGTCCTAAACGTGTCTGATCTCGTTGTGCTTATGCAGCTGCCTGGCACCCCCTTTTCTCCCTTCTTTATCATTTCTCCTTCCAGTTTCCTTGAAAAGAGTCCTTCTAAGGACTAAGCTAGACGTCCAGCTCAGCTTAAGTTTTATCTATCCTTGTCTATCTTCTCTGATTTCCATTGACATCCCATGACAATGCTTTTCGTGAGGTGTTGGAGTTGTTTCTCCGTTGGACTGTGAGCTCGTTGAGATCTGGAGCAGGCTGAATGTCAGCTTCGGGCCTGGCACATGGTGGGAGCTCAGTACTCGCACGTGAATGGGTGTTGTGAGTCTGGGAAGCTTATTTCTCCAAAGGCTAATTTTCTTGCACATAGTAAATCCCTTCGCTTTCAGTTCCCACTGAACCTCTTTTCAAGTTCCTTCTCTTTCTCTTTCTTGGACTTCTTCCCCCTCAAGCTGCTTTTGGAGCAAGTGATAAAATACATTTTCTCAGGCTTTTGTCCATCACTAAGGTGATGAGAAGGATGACACCTTCACCCTGTGTCTGCCCAAAGGGCAGTAGCTTTCATCTTGCAAAGTCTGTGAACCCAGTCTGCTGTTTCAATGTCAAGCATGTCCCTGGGGATACCCTCAGCAGTGTTTACTTCTTCATATGTTCAGCCTGACCCCAACATATATGGGGGGTATCCTTTCACTGTTAGTAGGAAGACAACCATATCCCAGTTTTGTCAGAACTGGCTACTCCTAATAGTGATGACCAGAGTGTGTTTTTGTGTAGTTACTGGTTGAGCTGCTTTTTTTTTTTCTTTTTTTTTTTGCATATGCCTGTCTGTTGTAGTACCCATTGGGGCCACAGTGGCTAAATATGAAAACTGGAGTCTCAGATGGCCTGCACGGAAGAGTGGATACATTCCACCTTCTGAAGCTATGAAGAGACCGAGGAGCTAATCTGGTTGGGGATAAACAGCAAATTAGTTCAATTAATGATAGCTGCCAGAACAGGTGGCAGGATTTGTTAGGTCTCCTCAGACCACCTGACCCATTGGTCCTTTGAGCTCTTTGTTCTGAATGGTTCCATCTAATTGGAACTCACTTTCCCATCATCACGTGTGTGTTATGGGAAGTAGGTTAAAGGCTGTTGTGAGAAAGGGATGCTAGATGAGGATAAAGGGGGGAGCAGCCCTCAGGTATGACTGAAAGGATGGGGAAGAGTATGCTGGGCCTCAACGGGGGTCCCTGGGTATGGGTCCTGTAGGGGTCAGATCATGAGGCTTGTCTCAGGTATTTAGGCTCCCCCAGCCCAGATTGTGTCTATTCTGAGCTCTTCTGGATCCCCTCACCCTGGTTTTATGAGCGTTCCTGATTATACAGTTGTAGAGGACCCCCTCTTACTCAGAACATGACCCATGGAGAGGGGCTAGTGCCCTCTGATATCCCAGGACAGGCTTGCATCGCAGCCAGAAAGGCTTTACACCATCAAACTTCTGTCCCACAGGAGAAGATCGGCTGGCGAAAGGACGCCCTGCACCTGCTGGTCTTCACAACGGATGACGTGCCCCACATTGCACTGGATGGCAAGCTGGGGGGCCTGGTGCAGCCTCATGATGGCCAGTGCCACCTGAATGAGGCCAATGAGTATACTGCATCCAACCAGATGGTGAGGACCAGGGAGTGTCCCCCAGTGCTGCTCCTCTGCCCCTGCCCCTGGGCTGAGGGCTCACCCCGCTTCTGACACTTCCTCTGGCCCTTTTGACTCAGTGACTCCCTCCAGCATTCTTGGGATGCAGTTTCATCCTGTCTCCTCCACCTGGGTTTCCAGAGTGCCTCAACATCTTAGAATATTTCTCTAAGACTTCTATGGCTGATTCATCTTTTTTCCTCTGTACATCTTAGTCCAAGGAGGAAGTAATTGAGGAGATGAGATAGAAACTCAAAGGGAAATAATGGGGTGGGGACTATATTTTTCAGTGAGATGGAAACTGGACAAGTGAAAACAAAAGTTGGGCTTCTAGAAATAGGCTCCCAAGGCGCTGAGAACCCTCAGTGTCCGTGTTTGTCTCAGCTAGGAGCCAGGCAGCAGCTGCCTTCACGGAACGGGAGGCCCTCCACTCCTAGTGATCTGTAACTGTGACCTTGTAATTTGAAAGAATGTATGCAGTTTCAGACATGCATAAAGATAGAGCTGTGAAGTGAACCCTCTCATACAGACCCACAGTTATCAAGATTTGTCACATCATTTACCATGCTTTCCTCTCCCTCTCATCCCCTGCCCCAAATCTATACTCTTTTCCCTTTCGAATTTACTCTGGTATCCAGCTAGAGGGAAATTCAAATTTACTTTGCCGGATAGGCCCTTTTCTCCCATTTCAAGAGGTGTCCAGGGCCTAAGTCTTCCATCTTGTCCAGAGAAAATGGAGTCTAGGCAAGGGATTCATAACTGTAGAACCTGGTAAGTACAGAACTGATGAGGACCCTGTTCCATCACTCCCCCAGAGTTCTCAGGACACTCCTGAAGTGCCTCTGGCTGCCTCCCTCCTGGTTCTCAAACTTCTATGACTCAGCGTTTAGCCCAGGTGTCACCAAGCGCTATCACCAACCGCTTTTGTCTATTCCGTGTCCTACGCAGGACTGAGCAGGACCTGTGGGGGCCACTGACAGCCCCATCTACTGGGCATAGGAAAAGGAAAATGGGGCAAGGGGACTGGAGGAAGAGTGATAGGGAAGGGAAAATGTAAGCAGGTGCTGATTGTCCACCACCCCTACCCCCGCTGAAAGATGGAGACATGACCAGGTGCGGGAAACCTCAACATGTCAGTTCTCCATTCTCGGTTTGGAGAGGTGGGACAAGTCTGGCTTGTTAGGTGTTGGAGGATCTTTTTCTGGAGGGTCTTTTCTAAGTAGCTCCTCACTTGGGAGTTGTTGGCGGGGCTTGGTTATTAAGGGGCTCCTGGGCTGTTTCTCAGGGCAAGTGTTGGGTTATTGTCTGCCTTTTGGAATCTGGAGCTGGTGTTTGAGCCTGTTAGAAATGTGACAAACTTGCCTTTTGCCTTGACCCTAGGACTACCCATCCCTTGCCTTGCTTGGAGAGAAATTGGCAGAAAACAACATTAACCTTATCTTTGCAGTGACAAAAAACCATTATTCGCTCTACAAGGTATGTCCGGAGGGAGAAGGGAACCTAGTGATCTGATCCTGGGGTCCATGCTGACCCTCAGGTGAATGGGATGTTAGAATGTGGGGCAAGGAGTGTTGGCAGCATTATTCTGTGGGGGGAGAGCTAAAGGAGGAGTAGAATATAGCCCTCTCTTAATCTAATGGAAAATAATTGTATGAAGGAAGTCAGTAAACACCTACCTTTTACAAGTAATTTAAACATATCTAACTTGATCTTTGGAAATAATGCAAATTCCCATTATTAGGTGATAAAATCGACAACTCCGAGCATGTGCAGAAAACTGAGACATCTTAATTATATCAGTAATTCCAGTATTCAAGAGTTTGATGCCTTCCCCTTGGGGAATGGGGGACCCCTGAGTTAGCCTGGGACAGGAATTCCCCAAAAAACAGAGCAATCTGTGTATGAATCTATTCTGTATAAAGAAACTTTTTCCGCATCAACCTGTGCTCTAGTGTTATAAAGACTCCTTGTGAGTGTGCTCTTCCGATGTCACTGGCAAGTTGCATTTTGAAGTAGAAATCTCCTCATTGCTCAAGTGTTAAACCTAATGAAGCCTAGCTCCCCTCAGGTTAAGAATTTAATCACTGTCTCCTCACCCCACGCCTGGGACAGCCAGCCCTGTCTTCTCTCCTTATCACCCAAAACCACACAGAAGAACCTTCATCCGATTATTAAGATTATTACTGATAAAATGCCACTTCCCTCTTCTTGAGCTCTTATCTTCTTTTAGTCTGAATCAATTTTAGAAGATTCTAGTAGATCCTAGTAGAAAACAAGGAAAGAGCATTTTCCCCCTTTGTTTCATGAAGAGAAGACAAAGCACATCCATCTATAGATCAGTTGCAGAGACTGTACTGGCTACACTTCCAGATGTTTCCAGAGGGAAACACCTTAACTTTAATTCTTGCTCAGAACCAAGGGCACATTCTTCTGGCATCCCATCTAAGACAGGCTACTTCTGGATATTTCTGTCACAATTATATCATCAGGTTAATACAAATTAATGAGGAAAGGCAAATACTGTTCCTCCACCTAGAGAGACCCCCAAAGTCCTGGGAAGAGCTCCATTAACAACTCGGTTCTTTCCTGAGATAAGTCTGTCTTTGAGACACTTTCACATCTGCTGAGCAGGTTGAGGGCATCCTTGAATGGACTTAGGAATATGTGTGTAGACTAAGGGCAAGCTGGCAACAAAGTCAAGACTATGTTGACCTCAGAGAAAGGAGTTTCAGGGTGTTGTCTTCACAGAGGAGAGGGCCCCAGGAAGGAGCGCGGCAGATCTGTTAGGTCTTCCACACCGGGCCTTCAGGGGGGCTGTCCCTCAGCTACTGTTGCGACTCCATCCTAGTGTCCCCCCCACACCCCGCCGTTCCTTGTGGCAAAATGTGGGCCAACAGTGCCCCTTATTTTCTAGGACAGAGGAGTAGAGCAGTTTTTTTTTTTTTTTTTTTTTCTGTGACAGTTTGGAAGGACAAATAAGCTTATTCCTTGCTTTTTTCCCCCTCAAGAATTTTACAGCCCTAATACCTGGAACAACGGTGGAGATTTTACACGGAGACTCCAAAAACATTATTCAACTGATCATCAACGCCTACAGTGTAAGTCGCTGTCCCTTCCCCATGGCCCCTGCACCCCTCCTCTGCACCGAGGCCCCTTAGCAGTGTCCTCTCTGCACACTGTCCAGGAGAACTGGGCTCTGCTTCTCCTCTCCCACCTCCTGGGTTTGGCCTCTTGACTGGGGCTCAGCATGGAAAGCCACCCTGCTTGAGGTACCCTCACCTCTCACTTTTGCACCTTGACGCTCATCACAGACTGGTCACAGTGAGCAGCACGTGGCCCAGTCAGACTCAGGCTTGGGTCCTGTCTGTGGGTGCACGGGGTATGGCTGGGCACACGGGGGTGGGGGGGGAGCGAGGAGGGGATCCCAAGCAGCTTCTCAGAGGACAGCACTGAGACCCAGTCACCTAACCTTCTCAGGGTGTGCAGCTCAGCATAGAGCTTCATACTGCAGTGGGATAGAGCCAGGAAGTGGCAGCAGCAGGTCTTTTGCCTACACATTTACAATCTGATTGTACCCAGATCCTTACACGGGATCCTGAGTGCGCCTGTTAAATTCTGTGCTTTTTGTAACTCGTCACGTTAACTTGGGTCTGTGTAGAAAGTGCCAAACTTACACGGCATCAGTATTACTTCCACATCCAAGTCAATCATCCATGATTCCCCAGCCTTTCTTCTTTCTGATTTCTATCCCTTTAACCCCTACATCCAACACATCCTCGACTCTGCTATCCCTTTCCTCAGGAGACAAAATGGCCGGCACAGTTTCTTGTGCTGGGACGTAGGCACTCTCAGCTTCCCTCCCTGTTAAGTCTCCCAGTGTTTACCAGCTCCTCAAGGATTCACATAATTCTCAAATTGGAACTCAGAGTACTTCATCCTGTCAAAACGGCCATTCATAGAATCATTATAGAGTTGCCTACCTACCCTTGACTTCATCAGCCTACCAGGGTAGCCCTGATTTGACTTATAAAGACAGGGAGCCAATGCCCTTAGCCCTGGAGCTTGGGGTACGGCCAGACTTCACCTGGCCTTCTGGAACTTTAGTGTCCTGAAGGCAGTGAGCATGAGGCTGGTCTTCCTTCTCCTGTAGGCAGTTCAGGGTCTTCTTCCTGGGACAGTTCTCCGGTGCTTCCTCACTCCTGGAACTTTCTGTTGACAGAAACTAAAACCATCTCTCCTACCCCACTTCCCACATACCGATCCTCTTTCTCATCTCTGACCTTTAGATCTTCACCGGATCCTGTTGGCCACCTCAGAGCCTATTGAGATAGGGTTTCCAGATGAACTTTATACCTAGTGGCTTTCCGATTTCCATAGTTAGTGGAAACATAACCCTGGGAGAGTGATTGCAGGGTGCGTGTGCAAGGAGGCGGGGGCTGGGCCTGCCCAATGTCATCTTCCTTACAAGGGACACCTCATCGTGAATTTTTTGAAATAACAATCAGACTTTTTTTTAAACTAATTATGCTGAACTAAAGTCAGTGTGAGAGCCTGAGCCTCTGACCTGAGCTGCTGTTCTTGCCATCTGTGACCTACAGGTCACCTGCGGTGCTGCTGCTACTCTCCCCCGTCAGGTGACCACACCTTGCTTCCTGCTGAGTCAAGGCTGTTAGGGGAAGAAATAATGAAAAACAAGCACATTCTTAGGTGCCAGGGTTGAGTGTTTTCTCCTGAGTGTCTGGGGAGGAGCCAATTCCTGGTATTTCCATCCTCAGTCAGCCCCCGAGTCCAGGTGACTGACATACATCTGGGGCTCCCTCAGGGCACTTCCTGAAGAAGGTCCAGGCCTTCTGTTGCTTCTAGCTTTTACAATGAAAGGATAAGGCACTCAGTTGCATAGAACTGGCCCAGTGGCATTTGCCAGAAGCAGAAAAAGCCCTATGAACAGCCAGTGGCTGGTGCGGTGCCTGGTTCTGTGTGTCCGTGCTGGTGGGTGGGGCCCTTAGAGCCTGCAGACAAGCTGTGAGTGCGGTTCCCTGGCTGGGATTTCATAAATGCTCGTTAGTTGTCTTTCTCTAAGATAGGTTGCATTTACCCTGGGCAAGATTCATGATATATAAATTCTTTTCTTAATAGAAACCCAAGCCTCTAGAGAACTACACTGTGTGTAGGTGGAAGTCAGGAGGAGCCGGGGAGCCCTCTGGGGAGTCGGGGTGGGATGAGCAGTGAAAGGAATCCCTTCCCTGGGGAGCTTTGGAACCTGGGTGAATATCCTGAGGAACTGTGGGAACCTAGCTTTGAAGTTCAGCTGGGAAGTGAAACGGTTCCTGAAAGAGAGCCTGGGAGGAAATGAAATCTGTGGCTTGTATATGATTAGAACCTCAGCTCTTAAAGGAGACAGTGGCTATAATGCTATCAGTCATGGTAATTCAAATTCAGTGGAAAACTTAAAAACCACTGTATTAAGATATAATTAACAGACAATAAACTGTGCAGACTTGAAGTGACACAAGTACACACCTATGAAGGCATCACCCCCATGATACTGAACATATTCATCCCCAAAGCTGTGATCTTGTTAGTTCCACAACCACCCCCCTTTGGACATTTTTTTTTAAGATTTATTTTATTTGTGCATACAGAACTGGGGTACAGGCCAGAGGACCAGGGGCGGTGAGAGGATTCACCAGAGACAGAGTGGGAAGCAGAACAGGCAGACTGACGAAGTACACTGTTGAGGAGCGGGTCAGGAGAGGTCTGCTGCATCATGTGGGTCACCCGCAGGGCGGGGATCAAACTCATGCTGAAGTGGCTTTAGCTTCTTAGTGCTGTGCTTTAACCCACTGCGCCACCAGGGAGGGCCCCTTTGGACATTTTTAAGAAATACAATAAATACAGAAACATTAAAAAATATATAGAAACATGAAGCAGAAAGTAAAACATTAAAAAAAGAAATATAGAAATGTGCAGCAGAAGGTATTTGGAGCAGAGTCAGAGTTGGGACTTAGAGTGAGTATGTGTGAGAGTGTGTGTGTGCGTGTTCTGTTAGCTCTGCGTCTCCACTCGCCTGCCTGTCCCCCAGCCAGCGTCCAAGCACACCTTAGATGAACTGTTTGTATGCCAGAGCCACCCTCCCAGTGGTTCCTGGTGGATTTCATCTGAGCCATGCAACATGTGGCTGAGCGGGGGGGCTGACTTCTCCCTCCCCTCTAGTGCTGGCAAACATCTGTGGGGTCATTCTAAAAAGATTTTGTTTGCAACACATGCAACAGAGGCAGTGGTGATGGTGTTTAACAGGGCTAAGGAAGGAGCCAAGTGGGACAGGTGTTTTAGTTGAACATCTGACAGAATAGTCTGTCATGTGCAACTTTTACAGTGTGAAATCTTGGGCTCTGAGTTTCAATTTATATTTCTTTCTTTCTGTGCCAAATTCTTCTTTGTGAGAGATCACTGAAACCTCCCAAGGGCACCAAGCACTGTGGTGCTTTGCTAAGCAGCAGGTTTTCTTCCAGAGTTTGCCCACAGGCCTCAGCGCACACGTAGGACACCCATATTGGGTTGCACTGAGAAAGGGGAGGTAGGATTTGGGAGACACTACTGGCGCCCTTTGCAGAGTGGGAAAGAACGGAATGAGCTGGAAACTACTTGAGCTGCATGTGGTGGGTGACATCAGAGGCTGGAGCACATGTTTCTCTTTTTGTTGTTGCCGTAGAGTCTGCTCCCACCCTCTCCACAGCTGGCCTGACTTACAGCAGTCGCAGATGTGACCTAGCCTGACCGAGTGTTTAACAGCCTTTGCACTTGTGATAAGCTTGATATTGTTGCCTCATCCTCATCCTCAGTGAAGATTCATCTTCAGGGGCAAATCTGACAGTTAATTGACTCAAGAGTGACACGTTAGTTTGCATATGCAACGACTGCATTGTCTTTGGCTATGACCTCTACCCTGCTTTGGACTCCATCCATTTATTTATTCATTTACTTGTTCAAAGAGCATATACCTGCAGCCTAATGTGGAATAGGCCCTTTGCAACTCCTTGGGATAGACAGGGAACAGAACACTGCTCCCTTCAGGAACTCCTGGTTCTTAGGGGAGACTGACCCTGAAAACCAGGATACAACCAGACCATCCACACTCACCAAGTCAGATCCAGACATGAGTATCAGGCGTGGTGATTACAGAGAACACTACAGGGGGACCACAGCCCAGCGCTGGTTCTGGTTCTGCCTGCCTCTGCCCAGATGGGACTTTTTCTTTGGCTTTACTTCCCACTTGCATGAATCAACTCTGTGGTTCCTACCCCTCTAACACCATTAGCGTTTCTGATTCTAGCAACTGTCTGGAAAGCAGGGGTAATACCAACTTCAGATCAGAACACAAGGCTTTGGGTTGTAGCCAGAATAGAACGTAGCATTCCGTTAACGTCCAATGAACGGAAGGGGCCACCAATGCTCCTTAGCCCTCTGCCGAACCCTCCGTGAGCCCCTCCAGGGTGGCTGCGCTGGGGGCGGGGAGGGGGGGTGCTTCCTTCTAGCAACCTGGGTGTGAACTATGGGGTCCCCTGTTTCATGCAGTTGATCTCCAGTAGTTTTTACATTAACCTCTAGCCCCTTTATGACATTCTTTTTGGCCACATTATCACACATACAACTAAAAATACTTTTTTAATAGGCCTGAATCCCTAAACATAATTGTTAAAAATATCCTTCCTTGCATCAGTCCAGTCAGCAAAAGCTTGTGTCTGGTCCCAGAGAGAAATGCCGTATGGCCCTCGGACTTCACAGCTCACAGCTCGGTAGGAAAGCAGAGGTGTAAATAACTAGCCCCCTTCAGCTGAGCTGTGTGCTGCCTGGTGCTCTCCCAGCCCTGAGCCGTGAGGCTGGCACTTTCAAGGGGAAGTGGAATTAAGAGGGAGAGTATTTTTAGAGTTGTAGAAGTACTTAATATTTTGTGTTGCAAAGAGAGAGACGATTTCCTGCAGAGAATATTTTCAACAAGCTGCTAATTTGTTGAGAAAGCAGCATATTTAACTTAAGCAAGTTTAAGTTACATGGTCAGCAAAAAAGGTTTAAAAAAAAAAAAAGGAAAAGGAACCCCAAGAGAGCAAGAGGTAGTTCTCCCTGCCGTCCTGATCGGTGTTGTGCCGCCTGGCCTGGGCCGGAGGGTAGACGGGCACCGCGGGCTGGCAGCGGGCCTTGATGCTTCTCACAGCGCATGCACAGGACATACTCAGTGTGCGAAGTCCTGGTTTTGCTAAGATACGACCCAAATACAAGTCAGTCACTTCATTGGCCTCATCCCCCAAAGCACATCCTTCTCAGAGATTCCCAGGGGCAACTTTTTAAACAGACATTCAGAGAATTGCACCAATGTTTTGCAAACTGAATACCCCTGAGTATCCAAAAGCCATCTGATCTGTTAAAAAATCAGAACATATTGATACCCCAAAACCCCTGTGATACCCGCTTTCCATTACGGTCCCCAAGGGTAACCCCTGGTTTTGAATTTTTTTTCATTTGAATTTTGCATAAATAGAATCACACAGTAGGTAGGCCTTTCAGGTTTGGTTTCTTTTCGGGCTCTTTGTGGAAGCGCGTCGGTGCACGCTCCTTGTCATATGCTACTGTACTACAGGAACATAGAATTGCTGTAAAATACCTTCTCTACCATTGACAGGTTTTGGGTTACATCCAGCTTCGAGGTGTTACAAGGAGTGTGGCTGTGAGGAATGTGCACCTGCCTTGGCCAGGGCGCTGCTCTGCTCGCTGTAGCCGTAGACTGAGTGGGTGGCCTGAGGTCAGTGTAAGCCAGCCTTCTCGGTAATGCCTGAGGGTGTTCTCACCAGCCATGGACAGGGGCCCCAGTTGCTCCATATTCTTCCAGCACTTATTTTCAGTCTTAAAATTTTTCTATTCTGATGGTTCATTTCGGCCTGATTTTTTTGTTTCACTCACAGTCTTAAGAACGTAATCCACACATAAGATGTTCATCTCTCCTCTCATAATGTAGTTCCAAACTCAGGTACATGGGCCTCATCTGATGGGGGTGTATGCATGTGGTGTATGCGTGTGAGTGATGGGTGGATTCTAGGAGAAAGTGCCTGCTGACCTGATTTCGAAGGATGACAAGGAGTTGTCTAGGGGCAAGAGAAGAGACCAGAGCCACTGAACAAGGAACATTACCCCAAGCGTGTGTAAAGGCTTTAAGTCTGGAGAGCACGAGGCAAGATCTAAGGGGCTGTGTATCTGAAGCTGAGGGTAGTGATGGGAAGTGACTCTTGAGAGGACAGTGTGGTCAGAGCATGAGTCCTTGAAGCAGATAATAACATCCGTTGGCAGGTGGACCATTTTCAACTCTCCGAGCTCAAGGAGGAAGACCTCAGGCCGCATCTAGCATGATGGCTTATGGATGAGAAGAGAGGAGAAGTAAACCAAACCACTGACTCTTACCTTAGCTGAGACTTCTGAGTTAGAGGAAGCCATGCAGGTGTTTGGAGACTCTAGGGAGAGCATCTAGGCTTGCTGACCTCTGTTAAATGGTTTTGGCCTCATCTTTTCCCTGTTCAGAGCATCCGGTCTAAGGTGGAGCTCTCAGTCTGGGATCAGCCTGAGGATCTTAACCTCTTCTTCACTGCTACGTGCCAAGATGGTGTGTCCTACCCTGGCCAGAGGAAATGTGAGGGCCTGAAGATCGGGGACACGGTAAGTTCACATCCCTGCTGATGATGCCTATTAGCATTGTTATTATTTGGCTTCGGATAAGGGCCTCGGATGTCACAAAGTTAGTTTGTATTCTGTCTCCCAGTTCAGCGTCCTGGGACTCTCCTATGCCTGCTCTGTGTTGTCTTTCAGGTGCCAGCTGCACTTGTTCAGGAGTGCCCAGTGATAGACAGCCCTTAGTGCCGCACCCTAAGGTTTTCCCAAGTTTTTGTTATGCCCTTAGTGGTTTTTTTTTTTTTTTTTAAGATTTATTTATTTGTGCATACAGAACTGGGGTACAGGCCAGAGGTGCAGTGTCAGTGAGAGGATTCACCAGAGACAGAGTGGGGAGCAGAACAGGCAGATCGACAAAGTGCACTGCTGAGGGGGCTGTGCCATGAGGATCACCTCCGTGGACGGGGATCTATCTTGCACCGAAGCGGTTGCGGCCAGCTTGCAGTGCTGTTTCCCAACCCGTTGCGCCACCAGAGAAGACCCATGCCCTTGGTGTTTTAAACCAATATTATCTTCCCTTGACGGGGATAAAATCAACTGAAAAAGCATGGGCAGGCATCCGAGGGGTCTGGTCTTCATAGTCAGTCTGTTCTGTGCTTTGGGACTCAGGGAAGTTCCTTACAATTTCTGATAGCAGCTTTATGAATCAGACAAATAATGTGGGTGGTTGAGTGCACATGTACAGAGATTTGTAGCAGAGAAATAAACAAGCTTTTAAGAATGTTGATAATGTCCACAGGAGGGAAGATTTGCTGTGATTCCAGGTGGCTCTTGTCTGTTCATGTTTATGACTAGCTTGAGTTGAACTCATGAAAGACCTATATCAAATATAAAGAGGTTATAACAATGAAGAAACACATTATTTTATAAAGCAGATAACCCAAGACTTAGAAGAAATATTTTTCCCTGCACAGAAGTAATCTCTTGTATTTGGTTCAGGATATGAATAGGGCAAAGGGGACTTGGTTTGACAATAACTTTTAAGAGAAGGATCTGGTGAATTCTAGTGGCTTAAATGCTTAAATGTGAATAAATACAGTTGCTTGGAAAAAAAGCTCATGCCAATTGAGGTTGAGTTAATAGAAGGCTTCTGAGATGATGACTCCTCTCTCCTTTGTTTGGGTCAGGTTGCATCTAGAGTTCTGTGTTCAGTTTGTTTTTTTAATTAAAAGGACGAGCAGCCCTCATGATGAATTAATTAATTGTCTAGAAACCTGGAAAGTCAAGGGAACTGTTTGTTGTTAATAACTGTGTTTGTTAATACCAGCGTGAAGTTGGGGCTCCTTTTGGATGCATGAAAATGAAGCCAAATTCTACTGCCTTAACCAGAAAAGGGAAAATCACTATCAGAATATTGGGGTCGTTCATTGACCCAAATGGGAAATACACTTTGTCCCTGGAAGGACTGGAAAGCAAGCAAACAATGAGTTCCCTCTCTGCTTTCCTCTTGGTTCCCTGTGAGGAAGTTATTGTTGTTCATGTTGACAGATGAGAAAAACTGAAACACAAAGAATTGATTTAACTACCCGAGGCTTCAAGCCAGACAGTAGCAAAGTGGAAGTTCAAAGCTAGGGCTATTTGAGTCTAATGATAGCAGACTTTTCTATTCCATCAGACCTACTTCCAAGGACCTCGAGAAAAATATGATAATGAACAGGGTCCCCACACAGGGCGCGTCACCGAGTGCATTTAGCTCCTTGCCACATTTGGTCACACATCCTGTGGCTCAGGTTGGCAGTAGGGCTCTGCTCTCATTGCTGCCAGGGAGCCTCAGAGTTGGGGTATGAGCACCTGGGCAAGGTACCCCAGCTGACAAGAAGTGCACTCTCCTCTCACACCAAGTTCTTTTCACTCCAGACCCAGTCATCTCACTAGCCACTGTCTCCTTATCAAGGAGGGATATAATATGGTTCGCCAATTCATGGGAATTTGTAATATGCCTGTGCCATGGTGGGGCCCTGCTTCTGGCTGCAGCTGGGTAAGGTGGACTTTACTCCCCATTATGTGAGAAAAACTGAGGCTCCGAGAAGGGCCAGAGAACTTCCAGAAGCCCTGTAGTTAGTGAGCCGCTAACACGAGGAGGCAAGCCTGCGATCAAAGCTGCCAAACTCCATGTTGTTCTTATACCTCCTGCCCCCTGGAAGTGCAAGTGTGAAAAAGCCCCAAGGTGGGATCATTGCCACTTATGGACCAATACCCTTGGGGTTTCGTTTAAAGGCACATCAGAAAAATAGGGAGACATTGTCCAGAGACAAAAAGATATTTTATTTATTTATTTATTTATTT